ATGTAGATGTAGATGTAGATGTAGATGTAGATGTAGATGTAGATGTAGATGTAGATGTAGATGTAGATGTAGATGTAGATGTAGATGTAAATGTAGATGTAGATGTAGATGTAGATGCAGGCGTAGGTGTAGATGTAGATGTAGATGCAGGTGTATATGTAGATGTAGATGTGGATGTAGATGTAGATGTAGTTGTAGATGTAGATGACGATGAAGATGAAGATGTAGATGTAGGTGACAATGTAGATGTCGATGTAGATGTAGATGTACATGTAGATGTAGCAGTAGCTGTAGCTGTAGCTGTAGATGTAGCTGTAGCTGTAGCTGTAGCTGTAGCTGTAGCTGTAGCTGTAGCTGTAGCTGTAGCTGTAGTTGTAGCTGTAGATGTAGATGTAGATGTAGATGTAGATGTAGATGTAGACGTAGATCTAAGTGTAGATGTAGATGTAGTCGTAGACGTAGATGTAGATGTAGATGTAGATGTAGATGTAGATGTAGATGTAGATGTAGATGTAGATGTAGATGTAGATGTAGATGTAGATGTAGATGTGGATGTGGATGTAGATGTAGATGTAGGTGTAAATGTGGATGTAGATGTAGATGTAGATGTAGATGTAGATGTCGATGTCGATGTCGATGTAGATGTCGATGTCGATGTCGATGTCGATGTCGATGTAGATGTAGATGTAGATGTAGATGTAGATGTAGATGTAGATGTAGATGTAGATGTAGATGTAGATGTAGATGTAGATGTAGATGTAGATGTAGATGTAGATGCAGATGTAGATGTAGATGCAGATGTAGATGTAGATGTAGATGTAGATGTAGATGTAGATGTAGATGTAGATGTAGATGTAGATGTAGATGTAGATGTAGACGTAGACGTAGACGTAGACGTAGACGTAGATGTAGATGTAGATGTAGATGTAGATGTAGATGTAGATGTAGATGTAGATGTAGATGTAGATGTAGATGTAGATGTAGATGTAGATGTAGATGTAGATGTAGATGTAGATGTAGATGTAGATGTAGATGTAGATGCAGATGTAGATGTAGATGTAGATGTAGATGTAGATGTAGATGTAGATGTAGATGGAGATGTAGATGTAGATGTAGATGTAGATGTAGATGTAGATGTAGATGTAGATGTAGATGTGGATGTGGATGTAGATGTAGCTGTAGCTGTAGCTGTAGCTGTAGATGTAGATGTAGATGTAGATGTAGATGTAGATGTAGATGTAGATGTAGATGTAGATGTAGATGTAGATGTAGATGTAGATGTAGATGTAGATGTAGATGTAGATGTCGATGTCGATGTAGATGTAGATGTAGATGTAGATGTAGATGTAGATGTAGATGTAGATGTAGATGTAGATGTAGATGTAGATGTAGATGTAGATGCAGATGCAGATGCAGATGCAGATGCAGATGCAGATGCAGATGCAGAAGTAGATGTAGAAGTAGATGTAGATGTAGATGTAGATGTAGATGTAGATGTAGATGTAGATGTAGATGTAGATGTAGATGTAGATGTAGATGTAGATGTAGATGTAGATGTAGCTGTAGCTGTAGCTGTAGCTGTAGCTGTAGCTGTAGCTGTAGCTGTAGCTGTAGATGTAGATGTAGATGTAGATGCAGATGTAGATGTAGATGTAGATGTAGATGTAGATGTAGATGCAGATGTAGATGCAGATGCAGATGCAGATGCAGATGTAGATGTAGATGTAGATGTAGGTGTAGGTGTAGATGTAGATGTAGATGTAGATGTAGATGTAGATGTAGATGTAGATGTAGATGTAGATGTAGATGTAGATGTAGATGTAGATGTAGATGTAGATGTAGATGTAGATGTAGATGTAGATGTAGATGTAGATGTAGATGTAGATGTAGATGTAGATGTAAGATGTAAGATGCTAGATGTAGATGCGGATGCAGATGGCAGAGATGCAGATGTAGAGTAGATGTAGATGTAGATGTAGATGCTAGATGTAGATGTAGATGTAGAGTAGATGTAGATGTAGATGTAGATGTAGATGTAGATGTAGATGTAGATGTAGATGTAGATGTAGATGTAGATGTAGATGTAGATGTAGATGTAGATGTAGATGTAGATGTAGATGTAGATGTAGATGTAGATGTAGCTGTAGATGTAGATGTAGGTGTAGATGTAGATGTAGATCTAGATGTAGATGTAGATGTAGATGTAGATGTAGATGCAGATGTGCATGTAGATGTAGATGTAGATGTAGATGTAAACGTAGACGTATACGTAGACGTAGACGTAGACGTAGACGTAAGCGTAAACGTAAACGTAGACGTAGACATACGTAGACGTAGACGTAGACGTAGACGTAGAGGTAGAGGTATAGGTAGGAGCAGAGGTAGAGGTAGAGTTAGAGGTAGAGGTAGAGGTAGCGGTAGAGGTAGAGGTAGAGTTAGAGGTAGAGGTAGAGGTAGAGGTAGAGTAGGTATGTAGATGTAGATGTAGATGTAGATGTAGATGTAGATGTAGATGATGTAGATGTAGATGTAGATGTAGATGTAGATGTAGATGTAGATGTAGATGTAGATGTAGATGTAGATGTAGATGTAGATGTATGTAGCTGTAGCTGTAGCTGTAGCTGTAGCTGTAGCTGTAGCTGTAGCTGTAGCTGTAGCTGTAGTTGTAGATGTAGATGTAGATGTAGATGGCAGATGCGATGCAGATGCAGATGCAGATGCAGATGCAGATGCAGGCAGATGCAGATGCAGATGCAGATGCAGATGCAGATGCAGATGTAGATGTAGATGTAGATGTAGATGTAGATGTAGATGTAGATGCATATGTAAATGTAGATGTAGCTGTAGCTGTAGCTGTAGCTGTAGCTGTAGCTGTAGCTGTAGCTGTAGCTGTAGCTGTAGCTGTAGCTGTAGCTGTAGCTGCAGCTGCAGCTGCAGCTGCAGCTGCAGCTGCAGCTGCAGATGCAGATGCAGATGCAGATGCAGATGCAGAGGCAGAGGCAGAGGCAGAGGCAGAGGCAGAGGCAGATGCAGATGCAGATGCAGATGCAGATGCAGATGCAGATGCAGATGCAGATGCAGATGCAGATGCACATGCACATGCACATGCACATGCACATGCACATGCACATGCACATGCAGATGCAGATGCAGATGCAGATGCAGATGCAGATGCAGATGCAGATGCAGATGCAGATGTAGATGTAGATGTAGATGTAGATGTAGATGTAGATGTAGATGTAGATGTAGATGTAGATGTAGATGTAGATGTAGATGTAGATGTAGATGTAGATGTATATGTAGATGTAGATGTAGATGTAGATGTAGATGTAGATGTAGATGTAGATGTAGTATGTATGTATGTAGCTGTAGATGTAGCTGTAGCTGTAGTAGCTGTAGCTGTAGCTGTAGCTGTAGCTGTAGCTGTAGCTGTAGCGTACTAGCTGTAGCTGAGCTGTAGCTGTAGCTAGCTGTAGAATGTAGCTGTAGCTGTAGATGTAGATGTAGATGAAGATGTAGATGTAGATGAAGATGTAGATGTAGATGTAGATGTAGATGTAGATGTAGATGTAGATGTAGATGTAGATGTAGATGTAGATGTAGATGTAGATGTAGATGTAGATGTAGATGTAGATGTAGATGTAGATGTAGATGTAGATGTAGATGTAGATGTAGATGTAGATGTAGATGTAGATGTAGATGTAGATGTAAGTGTAGATGTAGATGTAGATGTAGATGTAGATGTAGATGTAGATGTAGATGTAGATGTAGATGTAGATGTAGATGTAGATGTAGATGTAGATGTAGATGTAGATGTAGAAGATGTAGATGTAGATGTAGATGTAGATGTAGATGTAGATGTAGATGTAGATGTAGATGTAGATGTAGATGTAGATGTAGATGTAGATGTAGATGTAGATGTAGGTAGATGTAGATGTAGATGTAGATGATGTAGATGTAGATGTAGATGTAGATGTAGATGTAGATGTAGATGTAGATAGATGTAGATGTAGATGTAGATGTAGATGTAGATGTAGATGTAGATGTAGATGTAGATGTAGATGTAGATGTAGATGTAGATGTAGATGTAGATGTAGATGTAGATGTAGATGTGTGTAGATGTAGATGTAGATGTAGATGTAGATGTAGATGTAGATGTAGATGTAGATGTAGATGTAGATGTAGATGTAGATGTAGATGTAGATGTAGATGTAGATGTAGATGTAGATGTAGATGTAGATGTAGATGTAGATGTAGATGTAGATGTACATGTAGATGTACATGTAGATGTACATGTAGCTATATATGTAGATGTAGATGTAGCTGTATATATGTATAAATGTAGATGTAGAACTATTTTCAGATGTATGATTATGTTTTATGTACGTGTATATATATATGTATATATGGTTGTGGACATGTAGATGTAGACATAGGTGTACATGTCTAAGGTTTGCGTGTATGTATATGTAGGTGCACATGTATAGAGTATGCACATGCAGACGTAACTTTAGATGTAACTGTATACGTAAATGTAGGTGCACGTGTATGTGTATACGTATATGTGTATACAGTTGTATATGTATATGCCTATGCAGGTGTATATGTAGATGTATATGTATGTGTACATGTATATGTTTATGTACATGTGTGTGCAAATGTATGTGTATGTGTATGTGTATGTGTAAAGACAGATGTGCTCATAGATGTGTCCCACAGGAGTCGTTAGCGGAAGCATTGCCCATTTAGACAAGGGCCCAACAACACAGCTTGGAGACCAAAAGCAATCATCGACGAAAACCTGGTGCGAGCGTCGAGTAGCACACGTGAGTTCAGAAAACATGCGCGCCAGCGGGGGGAACACCAATGAATAATATCCAGACGTGGGAGTTGAACGACGAAGACGACGACCACGACCACGACGACGAAGAAGAGAAGACCAGGTTCAGATAGCCGGTTGACTGAAATCCGCGAGCCTGAATGGTAGCTGGCCGTCACTACTACGGCTTGGCGGTCAGGAGAGCGACCTGTCGCGCTTTGGCCTTCGCGTGGCGTAGCATCGCCATCGTCAGCCTCCTCACGCCTATCTTCCTCCTCCTCCTCCCCCCTCCCCTCCCCCTCCCCCTCCCCTCCCCCTCCCCCTCATCCCCTCTCCTCCTCCTCCTCCGCCGCCGCCGCTCCGCCTCCGCCCGCCCTCCTCTCCTCTTCCTCCTCCTCCTCCTCCTCCTCATCCTCCTCCTCCTCCTCCTCCTCCTCCTTTTCCTCCTCCTCCTGGTCCTTTCAACGAACCTCCCCCTGTCGCACCCCGAAGCCAGTCTTTAGGGCGGGCCGGGGTTTCACCTGAAACTTCCGCACCACTTTCGATTCTGAAGTCTGAAGCTCAAACATTGACAACCGCTTCACAAATGGAGGACGGTTCGTTTTCAAAATGTGGCTCTCGCCTTAGCGCGGTTCACAATCGTTTTAACAAATGAGCAAGAGCTTCACGGATTGAGGGCGGGTCGTTTTCAAAATGTGGTTCTCGCCTCAGCGCAGCGCACACTCGTTCTCAAAATTTGCACAAGCTTCACGGATTGAGGGCGGGTCGTTTTCAAAATGTGGTTTTCGCTTTAGTGCGGCGCACATTCGTTTTTAATTATCCTGGCGAAGGACCCAACCATATGCAGCTGTGAGTACCGCAATTGTGTATATCTTCTTCGGTGGCGATCCCTTTGGGGCCACGAACCGTGGGAGGGGTGCGCCGGCATGCGTGGCGGGGTACACAACACGAACGAAAACGATTGGCCTGAGCACGGAGGACTGAGTTCGGGCGAGACTGAGCGCGAGCGTGCCTGATTGTGATTGAGTCTGCGCGCGAGTAAATCTATGTGCGTGAATGCGAGCAGGGGTACGCCTGGTGTGAACGTATATGACTGTGAATGGCTTAAGTTTTCCTGCCTCTGAGCACTCGTGATACTGAGCGTGGCCGCCACAAGGAGCTCCCCCAGAAACCCCGATGGCAACGCCTGCGCGCCGCGACGCCCATGTCGGCACGCCCCTCACGAGGATCGCGCCCGCTTCCTTTTCTTCTGTTTCTCCTTCTTTATCCCTGCGCTACAATGTCCAAAGCTGCAAGCGCAGCGCAGCGCTGAGTCCCCGCGACGCGCGCGGGTCGTCCGCTGCGCGGATCAAAGAGCTAGCTGGCTGGCTGATAGCGGGCAAGGCTCTGGCCGCTGGGCAGAGCGACGACGGGCAGAGCGCAGTACGGAGTTCCCGCGACGCGTGGTCCTTTGGTGGAGTTCCCAATACGGGTACGGAACGCTATGCTGGGCGTGGCGGACGCATGTGGCCACCCCCAACTGGAGCTTTAGGTGGAGCTCCCCATGGGGCCACGAAACGCTGTACTGGGTGTGGCCGACGCACGTGGCCACCCCCACTGGGGCTTTGGGTGGAGCTCCCTATAAGGCCACGAAACGCTGTACTGGGTGTGGCGGACGCATGTGGCCACCCCCACTGGCTTTTCGGTGGAACTTCCTATGGGGCCACGAAACGCTGTACTGGGTGTGGCGGACGCATGTGGCCACCCCCACTGGGGCCTTCGGTGGAGCTCCCTATAAGGCCACGAAACGCGTGAGGGATGTGCCAAGATGGGTGTGGCGGACGCATGTGGCCACCCCCACTGGGGCCTTAGGTGGAGCTCCCTATAAGGCCACGAAACGCTGCACTGGGTGTGGCGGACGCATGTGGCCACCCCCATTGGGGCCTTAGGTGGAGCTCCCCATGGGGCTACGAAACGCTGTACTGGGTGTGGCCGACGCACGCGGCCACCCCCCCTGGGGCTTTGGGTGGAGTTCCAGATGGGGCCACGAAACGCTGTACTGGGTGTGGCGGACGCATGCGGGCACCCCCTCTGATGATGGCGATGACGATGACGATGACGATGATGATGACGATGATGATGATGATGATGATGATGATGACGATGATGATGATAATGATGATGATGGTGGTGGTGATGATGATGATGATGATGATGATGGTGCTGCTGCTGCTGATGGTGGTGGTGGTGGTGATGATGATGATGATGATGATGATGATGATGATGATGATGATGATGGGGAGGGAGAAGGGGGAGGACGAAGGAGTGAGGAACGCGGGGCGCTGTCTCTTCAAAACGAAGACCCAATACAACAGGATGGTTAGCATAAATTTCCAGAGCTTGAAGGATTGAGGGCGGTTCCTTTTCAAAATGATCATTCTTTTTCAAGATGTGCAAGAGTTTCACGGATTGAGGGCGGCTCCTTTTCAAAGTGTGGCTCTCGCCCTAGCGCGGCGCACATTCGTTTAAAAATGCAAGAGTTCCACGGATTCCCATCATCAACGTGCCAGAAAAGGTGTTTTGAAAAGATTCAGGATTATGCTGGCGTAACAGTTATGGTGATTCGCGGTGTTGAAGTTCCGGGAATGGCGTTCTGGCACGATTCAGGATTGTCAAGAAGCTACAGTCAGGTTGATCCGTGGCGTTTGAATCCCGAGAACAACGTTTTGGCATGCTTCAGGGTCTTCAAACGGTCGGTTGTCTTCCAAAGAGGCAATTCCTTCAAAGGAAATGAAGCGTTGTAGGGGCCTATGAAGAGGGAGCTTGGAGGGAGGGTTTATTCCAACATCGTTGATGCCTCTTGGGTTTACACTGGTCCTCCTCCTACTCCTCCTCCTCCTCCTCCTCCTCCTGCTCTAGGGACGACTAGGTCGAGCGGGCGGGTCGCTGAAGCGTCAACCCATCATGAAGGAAGATTCGAGCGATAGCGCGATTCTCATGCAAATCGCCAAGAAGTCCACAGCGAGATCGTGATTCCTGAGTCTATTGAGGGCACGGCGCCACAAGACAGTGAGAGGAAGAACCACGCGAGAGCGCGACTCCTGGACAAATCGAGAGGAAGGCCCGCGCGAGAGCGCGAACTTGAAATACACTGCGATCCTCCTTCTCCTTCTCCTCCTCCTCCTTATCTCCGCCTCCTCCTCCTCCTCCGCCTCCTCCTCCTCCTCCTTCTCCTTCTCCTCCTCCCCCTCCTGGTCGTCGTCGATGTCTTTCAGGGTCGGCGGCACCGGCCGTCAGGCCTTCACAATACGCTGTGAGGAAGCATCAGGCGGAAGCCGCTGTTGCTGTCCACCGGGGGCCAGAGGCGCAGCTCGGTGGCCACACACTTTTCCTGATAAAAATCCGGGTGCGAGCCATGGAGAGAGCACTTTAATTGAAAAATGCCCTGGCCACTGGAGGGGGGATCAACAATAATTGTTTTGAAATGAGAAGTCCGCACCACCACCAACAACAACAACAATCATGTTAAAACTGTTCGCTCTTATCTGCTCGCGGGCCTTTCAACATATCCCAAACCGTCGGTACCCGCCCTCTTCGTCTTCGAGCGTACCCCTCTTGGGGGCATATCTTCCGTACCTGCCACGTGTATTTAGAGCAGCCCCTAACACAACAGAAGGGAAGGACGGAAGGAATGGACAGGGGGAGGAGAAGGATGGAGCACGACAGAGATCGTTAGGAGGGGGCTAGGAAAAGAAAACAAGTGGCAGAACCAGGCGGGCGGATCGGGCAGGTAGACCCTAATGGGCGGGTCGGGAAGGCGGACCCAAGCGGCCCGATCGAGTAGGCGAGTCACTGAAGCGTCAGTCGTGTATAGATCGCGAGGACGTCTCGAGCGATAGCGCGTCTCTAAACTAGATCGTGAAGAGGGCCAGAGCGAGAGCGTGATTCCTGAGTGTCGAGAGCGGTGCGTCTGAATAAATTGCGAGAACGTACCACGCGAGAGCGCGACATCTGCATACAGTATGAGGAACTCCCGCGCGAGAGCGCGATGTTTGAATACATTGTGAAGTAGTAGGCGGGAGCCGTTGTTGTTGTTGTTGCTGTTGTTGCTGTTGTTGCTGTTGCTGTTGCTGTTGCTGTTGCTGTTGCTGTTGCTGTTGCTGTTGCTGTTGCTGTTGTTGCCCGCCTGCTCGACCTGGCCGCCTAGGCCCGCCTTCCTGACCCGCCCGCTATGGGTCTGCCAACAAGATCTGCCCGTGTGGTTCTGCCACGTGTTCCGGGTTCCATTCGCCTCCCTCCCCCCTCCATGCGTCCCCTCTTCCCCTGCTTCAGGGGCTGCACCAAGTACGCGCGGCAGGTAAGGGAGATATACCCCCAAGGGGGCGCGATCGAAGACGAAGAGGGCGGGTATCGACGGTTTGGGATATACGTGTTGAATGGCACGCGAGCAGATAAGAGCGAACAGTTTCAAAATGAGTGTTGTTGTTGCTGCTGCTCTTGTCGAGTTCTCATTTTTGAAGTATGAGCAGTGTTGTCTGTTCAGTGTAAGCGCTTTGCCTGGAGCTCGCACCCTGTTTTTGACAAGGGAAAGCGAAGGTCACCAAACTGGGCCCCTGGCCCCCAGTTTACAACAACAGCGGCTCCCGCCTGATTCTCCCTCACAATACACTCAAAAAGTCGCGCGCTCTCTCGCGGGACGTCCTCATAAGTTATGCAGGAATCGCGCCCTCGCGTGGGACCTCCTCGCCATGTATTCAGACGCCGCACCCTCGACACTCAGGAATCACGCTCTCGCTGTGGATTTCCTGTCGATTTATTTGTGAATCGCGATTCGCGCAGGACGCACGTTTCGGCAACCCGCCTGCTCGACTGGCCGTCCGGGTCCGCCTTCCCGACCCTCCCGTCATGGCCTACCCCGTGTGGTTCTGCCACGTGATTTCTGCTCCCAGCCCTTCTCCTGATGCTCTCTCTCGCGTTCCATCCTCCTCCCTCCCCCTCGTCCCTTCCTCCCATCCGTCCTCAGCTCCCCTGCCCTGGGGGCTGCACGAGATACACGGCGCAGGCAACAACAACAACAACAACAACAACAACAACAACAACAACAACAACAACAACAACAACAAAAATACCCCCGAAGGGGTACGATCGAAGCTGATTTGGGCGGGTATCGACGGTCTGGGATATACGTGTGGAATTGCCCGCGAGCAGATAAGAGCGAACAGGCTTTAAATGTTTGTTGTGGCTGGTGTCGTTGTCGTTGCTGTTGTTGTTGTACGTCGGGGGTTAGGGGCGCCGTCTGAGGCCCAAGATTCCCTTGTAAAGAACAAGGTACGAGCCCAGGGAGAAGCACCTTCATCGAATTACCCTGCGACGTTCCCTACCCATCTGCACTAAGTGGCAAGAGGAGCTGGTCCAAAGTTGTTCGGCAGATGGCAACGCAGGATCTGTCATTGGTTGTGCAAACTGTATGGAAAGCGCGCGGCGACTCACAAGACAATCAAAAAGGACGAGAACTGAGGCACCAGGCTCGAAGAGGGAATGAGTGGGCAGGAAAAAGAGACGGAAGATGGGCCGACAAGTCAACGTTACAGCAGCCGTGACACGGCAAAGTCGGAAGAGAACGACGACAAGAGAAGCAGGATGAGGAAAGGAGGGTGGCGGAAGTTCCCCAGTGGCGCGCCAGACAAGCAGCGCGGCCCCCTCCAGGTCGCTCGCGGGCCCCACCAGAGAATTTCAGTAATGACATTATACTGGCGAAGCCTTCGGCGACAAAACGCCAATCCTAGTCCAAGTTGGGACGTGCGCACGAGAACGCCATCCTTCGGCGCCACCAAAACCATTTTCTCAAAAAAAGCAAAAATATGTTGTCGGAGCTTCGGTGTTGTTTCCTGGTGGGCGCAAGGCCTGAAGAGTTAGCTGCTCACAGCCAGTGCCAAGGAGCGCGCGAGGCCGACGCCGCCCACCAAGTTCTCCGCCTCCTTCCCGTCCCGTGCAGCGCGGGAGAAAAGACGCCCGTTCCGTGCAGCGCCGCCGTGTCTTCAGGACCCACGGGGAAGGATTGCAAAAAACCTTTGATTGCAAAAAAACCGAAGGATTGCAAAAAAACCACTTGAACGAAGGATTGCAAAAAAAAAAAAAAAAAAAAAAAAAAAAAAACGGGGAAGGAGAGGAGGCGAATCCAAATCCGCGCAGGGCGCCACTGTCTCGGACCCCCTGGCAGCCCTCGGAAGCGGCGACGGTGTCGCAGATCGCGGCTCCCCAGAGGTGGCGAGGTCTGAATTCTGCGTCTGCGTGGGGCGTCACTCCGCTGGAGCCCCCAGCAGCCCTCGAAAGTGGCGGCAGTTTCGCAGATCGCAGCTCCGCAGGGATGGCGAAGTCTGCATTCTAGGGCCACGTAAGATGTCACTCCACTGAACCCCCAAGACGTCCTCGAAAGTTGCGACAGCTTCGCAGATAGAAGCCCCCAGGGATGGCGAGGTCATGTAGGACGACGACGTCGGGAGCAGGATGGCAGGCAGGGTAGAAGGCAGGATGGCAGGCAGGATGACAGACAGGCAAGACGAAGGATGGTGGGAAGGAGAAGGTGTGCGACCGCAGTGCTTTTCCAAAACGAGAACCGAACCCAACGCAGGAGGGTTGGGAAAAACACATTGGGCACCGTGGGGGGATCAACGATACTCATGTATTTAGAACTTATACCTCAACATCGAAAACAATGGTCAAAACTGTTCGCTCTTCTTCGCCCGCATGCCACTCAACATGTGTTCCCCAAACCCTCGTCACCCGCCATCTTCGCGTTCGATCGCAACCCCCTTTGGGGTATATAGATTCCGTGCGGAGGAGGACGAGAGCGAGGGAAGGAGGATGAGGAGGAAACGAGGAAGGAGGGGGCCAAGAGGGAGGGAGGAGGGAGGAGGACTGACGCCGAAGAAGACTTGGCAAGAGGGGGAGGAGAGAGGAACCACAGTTTCAGCAAGCGGACCCTGACGGCCGGGTCGGGCGGGCTGGCCCTAACTGCCGGCCGGGCGGGCGGGCCCTCACGGGCGGGTCGGGCGGGCGGGACATCAAGGCGTGCGGGAGGGCTCCCAAGCAGGCGAGGTCCCAGACGGACCCATCTGCGGAAGAGTTCTGAAGCACGCGGACGGGCGGGCCCTGACGGACGCGTCGGGCGGGCGGATCCTGGTGGGCGGGTCGGGCGGGCAGATCCTCGCGAGCGAGTCGAGCGGGGCATGGCAGCGGGCGGGGCGAGTCCCGAGCACACTGCGAGGAGGTCGCGCGCGAGAGCGCGAGCTCTGGACGTCGAGAGCGCAGCGCCTTCGTAAGCTACAAAGAGATGCCAACCCAGAGCGCGACTCCTGGATGAGCTGCAAGGAGGAATTTCGCGAAAATCAGAGTGCCAAGTAGATTGTGAGGTGGTTTAGAGAGGTTCCTCTTCCACCCCTCCTTCTTCCCTTTCGGGGAGGGGTTTGCCCCTCCCCCTGCCCCCTCCCCTGGACCTGGACGGGCGGTTCCGCGAGTCGTCGGAGCGTCCAAAACGGCCTCGGCGAGGAAGTCAAAATCATTGGTTTTACTAAGGTTTTGGCCCCATTTGGGCCTCTTGGGGGGGGGGGCGCTAATTAGTCACCCCCCCTCCTGTGATCGATCTCACCCAAGATGGCCCAAAGATGGCCCCCAAGGCTCCCAAGGGTGCCCCATTAGGGCCCCAAGAGGTGGCCAGGAAGCCCCAGGAGGCCCCCCAGGATGCCCCGAAGAGGCTCCCAAGAGACCCCCAAGAGGCCCCAAGAGACCCCCCAGAGGCACCCAAGATGCTCCAAGAGGCCTCGGCGAGAATGCCACATCATTGATTTTACTAAGGTCTTAGCCACGTGTTGGCCTCTTTGGGGGGGCACTGATTAAGATGACTCCAAGAGCGCCTGGGAGAGCCCAAGATGACCTCCAAGATGGCTCAAGATATCCCAAGATGTCTCAGAATGGCTTCCTCTGTGTGCTGCCCACTTCCCTGATCGAGGCAATTCCTCTGGGCATCGTTTTTGGATGGGCTGGTGGGGATTCGCGAAGCGTCAACAGTTGAGAGGAAATATCAATCGGGAAGCGTTGTTGTCAACACAGGGCCAGGGGCGCAGTCTGAGGCTCAAGACTTTCCCTTATTAAAAAGCAGGTGTGAGCTCGGGGGAGCACTCCGCCAATTGAGAAAAACTATGGGCACCACGGGTGACCAACACTAATTTTACTTCCGAAAGGAGAATTCAAGTGGCTCTCGTGTAAGATTCATCCATCCTCCATCCTCCTAACCCCCCCCACACCCTTCCCGCCGCCTCCTCCACACGCCAGAACGACGCCGACTGCGAAAAAAATACGGCGCTGTCGACGACGACGACGACGACGACGACGACGACGACGACGACGACGGCGACGACGACGACGACGACGACGACGACAACGACGACGACGACAACGACGACGACGACGACGACGACGGCGGCGGCGGCGGCGACGGCGGCGGCTGAGGCGGCGGCGGCGGCGGCGACGGCAGCGGCAACGACAAAGACAACGAAGACCTCTGGCGCTGCCGCCGGCGCGGGGGCTGGGGGGCCGCCTCAAACAGGAGCTCGAGCTCGCGCTGGTACTCCTCCAGCCGCCGATCCGACGCCTTGGGTGGCGAGGGGGCAAGCGAGAGGTGATGAGGAGGAGGGCTAGAGTAACCCAAGAAGAGCCCTCTTGAAAGACGAGCACCTATGTGCCTGCTCTTCAGGCGAGAGCTTATGCTTCATGAGCCCGACGCGGCACCGAAGCAACTCAAAGCAGCTCTGAGCCATGAAAAGCATTGCAATGCCAACATCACTTGACATTGCTTGACAGTGTTTGGCCTCCCTCCTCCTCCTCTTCATCATCCTCCTCAGACTCTTCCTCCTCCTCCTCGCTCATCGCTCCTACTACTACTACTACTACTACTACTACTACTATTACTACTACTAGTCCTACTACTACTACTACTACTACTACTACTACTACTACTACTACTACTACTACTACTACTACTACTACTACTACTACTACTACTACGACTACTACTACTACTACTACTACTACTACTACTACTACTACTACTACTACTACTACTACTACTACTACTACTACGACTACTACTACTACGCTACTACTACGACTACTTCTACTACTAGTACTACTACTACTACTACTACTACTACTACTACTACTACTACTACTACTACTACTACTACTACTACTACTACTACTACTACTACTACTACTACTACTACTACTACTACTACTACTACTACTACGCCTCGTCCTCCTGATTCGATGCTGCCCTCGAGATAGTTCTACGGCGATTGGGTTGTCTAGTGGGGGGTGGGGGAGGTGCCCGCCAATAACCAAACCGTTTCGCTGTGGGCAGCCCCACGTATGCCCGCGCGCACCAGCACCGCGCACTCCCCTCGGACCTGCGCATCTGACAAGGTCAGGTGATCCGCGGGTGGACAGGGGGCGGGCGGGGCGGGCGGACCCGATGACCCGCGTTATCGCCAGACCCTACAAAACAATGTCAAACTAATCCGGCCAACTACCCTGTCCGCGCAGTCACTTCCGCCAAACCCCATTCCAATGAGATGGGCTCAGCTTCAAACGAAATTCGCATAGTTCTCCTTCGTCAGCCTCCTCCTCCTCATCGTCATCATAATCAGCGGCAGCACCATCATCATCATCATCATCATCATCATCATCATCATCATCAGCAGCAGCAGCAGCAGCATCATCCTCATCATCATCATCATCATCATCATCATCGTCATCATCATCGTCATCGGCATAATCGTCAACATCGTCAGTATCATCATCAGCAGCAGCAGCATCATCATAATCAGCATAATCATCATAATCATCCGAATCATCATCAACATCATTAGCAGCATCAGCATCAGCATCATCATTAACATCATCATCCTGTGCCTCATCATCATCATCATCATCATCATCATCAGCAGCAGCAGTATCATCACCATCATCATCAGCATCAGTAGCGTCCCCATCACCAGCACCATCACATCATCATGGCCATCACCGTCATCAGCATCAGCATCATCATCAGCATCATCGTCCTCATCATCATCATCCTCCTCATCATCATTCGCAGTATCATCCGCAGTACGAGCATTATCAGCAGAATCATCCTCATCCACATCATCCTCAGCATCATCATAATAATCATCGTCAGAATCGTCACCACCATCGTCAGAATCAGCATCATCATCATCATCATGATCATTACCATCCTCATCATCATCATCATCATCAGCATCATCAGCATCAGCATCGGCATCAGCATCATAATCCTCCATCACCTCCTCCTCCTCATCATCATCAGCAGCAGCATGCCCAGCAGCATGTTCATCACCACCATCAGCATCATCATCATCGTAATCAGCATCGTCATCATGACCATCAGAATCATCATCATCATCACCCTCACCATCATCATGATCATCGTCGTCGTCGGCGTCATGATCATCATCAGCAGCAGCATCATCGGCATCAACGTCATCATCGTTACCATCATCAGCATCATCATCGGTATCAGCATCATCAGCATCAGCATCAGCATCAGCGTCATCGTCAGTGGCATCGTCATCATCAACATCAATATCATCACATCATCAGCAGCAGTATCATCAGTATCGCCATCATCGTCATCATCATCCTCATCATCATCAACATCATCAGCGTCGTCACCATCATCCGCAATATCATCCTCATTATGCTCGCTTCTCCCCCTGGGCTATGCAAGTTGAGACGGCAAGGCCTCTGCCTTCTCCAGTGCCAGCTTCACCTTCTGGTCCTCCGTGCATTGCAGCGGGCAGCGCACTCGCGGTGGCAAGATCAGAGAGAGAGTGCACAGAGGGGCGACTGGAGGCGCGAGAACAGCGGCGACGGTTCTTGAGGGCAGCGATCTCCCCGCACCACCAGACTCTGCAGAGAGGTGGCCCACTTGCTCACGCGCTGGTAAAGAAGCACTGGGCGACGTGCCGCGGGCGCCCGCATGGACGCTACGCCGTAGACATAAAGGCCCAGCGAGGCGACTTATGACGCATGACTCTTCCCCAAGCCTCGGAATCGTGTCTAGAAGCCCAGACCACCAATGTGCGCAAAGAATGGCCCCAAGGCCGCATCCTAAAGATGCCTTGAGGGTATTGGGCCGTCTTCAAAGCCCTGGGGTTGGCTTAAGAGTTCGATGTCGCACAAAAACTGCCAGCTGCTTGCATTTCGCAAGTTCGCCGATCCAGTTCTGAGAGCGTCCGAAACGGCCGGAGATATCGAATACCGCCCCCAGGCACCCCCCGAGGCCCCCAAGAGGGGCGCAAAGAGGGGAGCTCGAGGGGGGTCTTGGAGATATCCTCACGTAAAGGGCCCCAGGACCTTCAACGAGCCGCTCACACGCCCACCACAGGCCCGAGAGAGGCACCTAAGAGGCTTAGCAACCGACCCAGGCAACGTGGCGGGACGAGCTGAATTCGGCTACACGCAAGAGTGACCCTGGGTAAGAGTGACCTTTGGTGCGCGGCTTTCTGGGGGCCGCGGGAAGACCAAAGCTGGGCGCGCAAGCCCCTGCTACCGCTTCGTTTTCAGCCATCTGCGGGCCCATCTGCGCCAGCACCAAAGGTCACTCCGGCGAAAGGTCACTCTCACGTCTAGTCGATGAATGGAGGTCATCAGATCTGCTTGACACCGGGACGGAAAGCGCAACTTACGTCGTGGTGGCGCGAGACCGTTGGCTTATCCGTGGTTCCTCCTCCGACGTCCTCTCTTCCCCCAGCCCGTGTCGCATCAATGGGTATCGTGGGGGCCCCCGTCGGGCAGTCGTGGGAGATTATCAAGCCGTCTCTGGGCCCTCTTGAACCGCTTTGGAATCCTTTTGAAGGCCTCGTCGCCCGTGTTGGGAGATACCAAAAACGACGTCGACAGTATCTCAAGCATGTGGGGATGCCCCTAACGATATCGCAGGTCCGGGCAAGAACGGCAGCAAGACGATGTCGATAGCCATCCCTGCTTATGTGGAGATGTCAGGAGCGAAACCACCATGTTGGCAAGATCAATACCAACAATGTGCCGACTTATTACATAGATGTACCTATATACGTGTACATATATATATATATATCATACGTTTGAAGACATCGCTATCGAGATCGCTAGCTTGGAAAATGATGTCGGCATCAATTAAGTTGCGTTTCGATGTCCCGAGCGAAACCGCAATTACGGACAAGACCGAAACCAAGGCGACGTCGACTGCATCTCAACTGTCTGCAGATACCCCCAGCGAAATCGCCAGTTTGTCCAGAGCGATGTCGACCACATCTCCTTTGTGAGAGGATGTCCTTGGCGAAATCATAATTTGCTGGGCGGGAGCAAGGCGACTTAGAGCCGCACTGCTGAGCTAGATTAGGCCGTGTTGAGGCTTCCCGACAACGAACCCAAAATATTACATTTGCTGGATGATGTCCCGAGCGAAATCGTCATTTGGGCGATAAGATCTATGGGCTTGGGGACGCCAACCAGCCAGCTCCCCCCCCCCTGGTCGCAGCAAGCGTTTGCCCAT